CTTTTTTGCATTTAACTATCTTTAATTTTTTATTTTATTGCATTTTAATTTTTTTGTATTCGTATTTTACCAGTCTTTAAAGAAAAACTTCCTAGCTGTTTATATAATTTCTTTTGCATTTAATAATCAGTCAAATTCAGAACTTTTTTCCTTTAAAATCTAACCTGCCCTCATTCCTGCTACAACATAAATTCCTTCCTTTGCTCTTCTTTGAGTACTGTTCTGGGCTGCCTGCTGTCTTCCTTCCCTTTTCCTTTGCATTATCTTCCATCTTTAACTTCTTTCTTTCTTTTTAAATTTTGGGGTTTTAAAAAATATTTATTTTATTTTTCAATTACAGTTTACATTCAATATTATTTTGTATTGGTTTCAGGTGTACAACAAGTAACCTCTTTCATGTCTCCAAATCTCAGCTGTCTCAGACGCCTCCCTTGCCGGTGTCTCTGAGGACATATTCCCAGCTGGCTCTGGGATTTCCTTCCACTGCGGTTCTAAAATGCTCTCGAGTGTGTTAACGAATGATTGTCAGAAACAGCTTCCTGGCCTCACTCCAGGGAAGTTAGATTTCACTGTATAAGGAGGTCCCTTGGATATCACTGAACAGAAATAACTTAAAATAAAGAGATCTACTTGATTCAAAGCCAAATAAGCAGCTTTTCCTGAATCAACAAGTCATCTGTAAAACTTAACATTTGAAATCTCTTGTTTTAGAGTTCAAAATTGTAACTTTTTAGGTAAAAAAGGTGCATTTTCTCCCTACTCTCATGACCTAATAGCACAAAAATGCTTTACTCAAACTTTCTACCAAAGATTCCCCAAAGACCATAAGAGAAATAAAAGAAACGTTAAAAGAAATGGCTTTTCCTACTTAACTCTGACCATTGTAGAAATGGACTCATAATTAAAAATATATTGCAGGAGATGTCGTACAGGGGTTATGAACCTTCTATTGATTATCAGAGGGAAGACAGCTTGACTTTCATGGACTCAGAACAAGAGAGCAAAAGAGGATAACACGGCAAGACAGAGTGGATTTCAATTTAGGCAGAGACTAGTGAACGCTCAAGAGCACAAGTTCTAGAGTCAATGGACCTGGATTCATGTTTTGACTCCACCATTTAATGAGTTAGATTACCTTGAGGTAGGTCACCTTCCATCTCTGAGTCTGTTTTCTCATCAATAAAAGAGGCAGTATAATACTACCTATCTCATAGAATTGATTAAATATAGTGCCTGGCTCAAATAAATCCTCAATAAGTGTTGATTATAATAATTGTTAGCAATTTTGTTTATACTTCATCCTAACATTTATGAAAATAATCACTTGTATACTTGAGGACATGAACTGTCCTAGTATATTACTTCCAAAAGTTACTATTTTCCACCCTAGCCAGTTTTGCTCAGTGGTTAGAGCATTGGCCTGCAGACTGAAGTTCGATTCTTGCCAAAGGCACATAACTTGGTTGCAGTCTCCATCCCCGCCCTGGTCAGGGTGTGTGTAGGAGGCAACCAATCACATCCATGTCTCTCTCTCTCCCTTCTACTCTCTCTGAAAAGCAGTGGAAAAAATATCCTCTGGTGAGGATTTAAAAAAAAAAAAGTTATTATTTTTCTTGTGATTTCCTGGCTGACTTATATTATTAAAAATATTAGTGGAGCCCAGCCAGGTGTGGCTCAGCGGTTGGGCGTGAACCTAGGATCCAGGCGATCAGGGCTCGATTCCCGGTCAGGGCACATACCGGGGTTGCAGGCTTGGTCCCCAGTTGGGGGTGTGCAGGAGGCAGCCGATCAATGACGCNATTCCCGGTCAGGGCACATACCGGGGTTGCAGGCTTGGTCCCCAGTTGGGGGTGTGCAGGAGGCAGCCGATCAATGACGCTCTCATCATTGATGTTTCTACCTCTCTCTCTCTCCCTCTCCTTTCCTCTCTCTGAAATCAATAAAGATATATTAAATATCTTTATATATAATATATATATATATATATTAGTGGAGCCTGGCTGGCGTGGCTCAGCGGTTGAGCATCCACCTATGATCCAGGGGATCACGGTTCGATTCCCGGTCAGGGCACATGCCTGGGTTTGGGGCTGGATCCCCAGTATGGGACATGCAGGAGGCAGCCAATCATTGGCTCTCTCATCACTGATGTTTCTACCTTTCTCTCTTCCTCTCCCTTCCTCTTTCTGAAGTCAATAAAGTATATTAAAAAAAAAAATTAGTGGAGCCCTAGCCAGTGTTGCCCAGTTGGTTGAGCACCATCCCATGCACCAAGAGGTTGCTGGTTTGATTCCGGGTGGGGGGCACATTCCCGGGTTCTGGGTTTGATTCCCGGTAGGGGTTGTGCGGGAATCAGCCAATCAATGCTTCTCTCTTTCCCTCTCCCTTCCTCTCTCTGAAATCAATAAAGATATACTTTTTTAAAAAATTAATGGAAAACATGGGAAAAGAAACACAAAGTCTATAACCCTTAAGAATATAAACACTGCCACCTCATTTTCATGTAACAGGGAAAGCTGCTGCCTGGGTTGCCTGCAACATAAGCTAGGTGTTGCTGGGGTGAAAGCAACACTAAAGGCAACATGTCTTTCTGCTGAGAACCAGATCCTATCAAGAACATCCTAGACTTTGAGAACCAACAAGTGTATGGAGGAGGACTGACTGACCGCCAGCACTGGTGGCTGAATAAGATGGCTGGCTTGGGGTTTCAAGTCTACCACCTGTTAGCTCTGAGAACTTGTAGTAAACTCTCTCTGATTTTGTCTTTTGTAAATGGGGATGCCAATAATTTGCCCATTTAACACTGATAAGAGTCAGATTATCTAATTTCATATATTTTATTTATTATATTCAATTTTGCCCAATTATCCTGGTAATGTCCATTAGAGGTTTTTTTTTTCTGACCCAGATTCAATCCAGGATCATATTTTGCATTTAGTTATGTCTCTTTATTGTTCTTTAATTTGGAATAGTCACCTTTGTGTGTGACTTTCTTACACTGATATTTTGGAAGTGTTCAGGCAATCTATCTTGTAGAACGTTGGAGGATGGAATCAGGTAACAATATTTTTAAGAGCTGTGCTCTTGAGCTAGTGAGGTATGGCAGTTAAGAATTTGGGCTGTAGAACTAGACTTTTCTGAGTTCAAATCCCAGGTCTGTCTCTTGTTAGCTGTATAACTTTGGTAAAATTATGCCTCTCTGTGCTTTAATTTCATCTATAAAATGAGGATAATAGTACCTACCCACTACTGTGGAGATGAAATAAGTAAATATATGTAAAGTGTTCACAACAGTCTGCACAGTAAGTACTTATCAACTGTTAGTTACTGTCGAAGGCAAATTCTTGTCATGGGATCGGAGTTTCCAAATTTGTGTCTTAGCTAGAAAAAAAATTCACTCATTTAATTATAAATGACTCTTTTTCAGTGTTTACTAAATGTCTACAATTATGCCAGCTGGTGCAGTAAGAATTTCAAAAAAAACATTCTGAATGGAAAAAGAACTTTAAAAGACATAATCTCTGATTTCCAACAGCTTCCTAGTGTGAAATTACTAAAATATGTGAAAAATGAAGGTAGAGTTAAGTGCTGCTACCCTGAGTAAGCATGAAGTTCAGCTGATATAGGACAGAGAAGGAAGTGGTCAGTGTTGACTGAAATAGTTGAAGAACAGATAAAAACTGACTCGTCAGAGAGGAGGGGGCAGGCATTATTCCAGGCAGAGAAGGCCACTTGGGCAAAGGAATAATAATGAGTGAAAAGGTGAGGGCAGTGGGAACTAAGAAAACAGGAGCCTGGGACCACATAATGGGGGCCTTAAAATCCAGGTGCAGCCCTGGCCAGGTGGCTCAGTTGCTTTCAGCACAGGTACACCAAAAGGTTGTGGGTTCAATTCCCAGTCAGGGCACAAAGCTAGGTTGCGGGTTTGACCCCTGGTCCCCGAGCGCTGGGGAGGCAACTGATCCCCCATCCCCCATTCCCCCTCCCTTCCTCTCTCTCTCTCAAATCAATAAAAACATAACCTCAGGTGAGGATTAAAAAAAAAAAAATCCAGGTACAAGCAACCAGGTCAAGAGAAGCCATTTTCGTTAGGTTCTTAACAATGTAGTCAGTCAAGCAGAGAAAAACTGGGGAGTCAGGATGAGCAAAACCACCACCGAAAGCGTAGGCCTACTTTCACCTGAAGGATGTTACTTACATGCTTGTACGAATGTTCACTTAAAGGTGGGAGTGTTAAGCAACGGACCCGAGACCAGACATTCACCTGGAGACCATGAGCTCCACCCCACGGACAAAGCCCTTGTTGCTTAATCTCGGTCTAGAATTTTACTGACTAGTTAACCAAGTTTAGCAAATTGTCCCGAGGAACTCGCTCACTGGATGGTTATTTATACTGGTAGGAGGACCTCTCTGCACTGAGAAAAAAATGATAGGAAAGGGTGAGAGGTGAGTGAGGAAGTGAAAAGGTGAGAGAGGTGGAGGGGGTACCTGAGGGCAGGGCCCCCAGGGTCCAAGCGGGAGGACGCGGGGGTCGGGGGTCGGGC